GTAGCTGGTGTCCATGAGGAGCTGGCTTTAAACAAGCTCCCCACAAGCACTGGAACCACCTGGCCCCCACGCTCCTGCCTCTTATAGATAGACTGGAGCCAATACACACGGGGAGCCGGCTCTGCAAACCAATGGAGGCAGCAGGGTGGTGCTGGAGGGAGCCAGCTTAAAAGCCAATTACTCCCCAAACCAGCTTCGCAGTGCTGCCTGCCCCCTCCCCACCGCTGTTGCCTCTAGTAGCAGCCTCTGTACACTGGGATCTGAGTTCCCCATGGACAGAGGCTGCTCTGCATCCCATGGAGCAGTTTCTGTTGGTGGTGAGCCTGGGCCTACCACAGACAGAGGCTGCTTTGTGATGGACAGGGGCTGCTGCTGCCTCTGTATCAGAGGCAGCAGCATGGGGCGCCAGGCAGATGGTCTGCGTGGGGAGTTGGTTTTTAAGCTGGCTTCACTCACAGAGCAGCTCCGCCTACCACCCCGCACTGCTGCCCAGGGGCGGATGAGAGTGCCGCAGGGCTCAGGGCAGCGCCACGGGGCCCCGGGCTGCAAAATTTCGCGGCCCCCCCCCTTTGACACAGCGCATGCGCCGTGGTGCTAAGGCGCATGCGCGGGGCCTCAGGAAGCGCGGGGCCCGGGGCAGCTGCCCTAAATCCACCGCTGCTGCTGCCTCTGATACAGAAGCAGCAGCGGGGTTCCAGGGAGCTCCCTGGGGGTGTGACCAGGAGCACACTGGCTGCTGGCCCCACCCACGGGGACTATCGAATAGTTGTGTAACTGTTAAGATTTCATGCAATTATTCTATTATTCAATTACCCGATATCTAACATCACTAATCAAAGCATCAAGTATGTATATTACTGATCAGGATTTTATTCTGCTTGTACATTATAAATGTATATAGTCATGACCATTTGTACTTAAGCTACTGCTATGTCTATGATCTATCTATTTCTGTTAGTCCTTTGGGCTCCTAATGGAGCATAGGGCCTTTAATATGTTAGGACAAGGCCTAATAAACAATAGCTCCATGTCTGCAGCAACACTTTTTTTTTTTTTTTTGAGTTAAGAAATTGTCATCAATAGCATTTGCAAATTCCCTGGGTCTTTTACATGATTCCTCCGGCATGTGTCCCTCAGACTGAAGTCCCCCATGGCCATGCAGGATTTTTTATACCTTATAGGTGTATTGGGAGGTAGCCATCTTGTTTTCAGTGTAATTTGGTAGCCTGTAGCAAACACCAACTAATAACCCATCTTGTGTTTTGTCTGGTGGGACATTCATTTACAAGCATTCAGGATAATTTTCTTCTGAGTTATTAGTGAGTCAGAACCAGACAATTGCCATTTTTGACAGACACGGCCCCTCCCCCTCCCTGTGTGCTCTCTTAGCCCTTCCTGATGAGGTTATAATAACCATTGACGTTTTAACATTCCAGTTGTGCGAATCATGCTGTCAGGTTCAAAGCAATGCTAACTAGATTGAATTTACACTCATAAATGATAATGCAGCAAAGCAGAAAACTGAAATATCTGTACAGCCACTACCACCTCCTCCTCTTAAAACTCCACTCCACTCTGCTGCAGTGCCTAAAAACCAGCCAACGGTCATGGCTCGCCCTAGGGCCAGCAGTGACTATTGTTTTTCCCATTTCTGTCTTTTCCTGCTACTTTACTACGGATAACTTGTGATTAGGTGCTGGCCTAGCACTTGTCTGACCTAGCTCAGCTCCCTCCTCTGCCACAGATTTCCCGTGTGTCCTTGGATACGTCCCTTATTCTCTCTCTCTCTCTCTCTCTCTCTCTCTCTCTCTCTCTCTCTGCATTTGTTCCTCCCCTCTCACAAAAGGGGAATATAGCTCTGCCTTACCTCAGAGGGGTATGAGGATAAATCCATTTTTGGCATACTCAGAGGAGAAGGGCTCCCCAGCTGGCAAGCCAGAATCTTTAATCAAGTTCTTTGATTATTAACCTGATCCTGAATAGGTAATAAGTAGTGTGTGATATTGTATGTTAATGGTTCATTGTAACTTTGCCTTAAAAAAAAAAAAGATTGTAAAGTGCTCAGATACCATGGTAATAGAGGCCATATAATTAGATACTATCCTATCCACTCTCAATTAAAAGCAGCAAAAGCCAACAGCTGCAAAACTGCCTATCATTGCCATGTTCATTAGCTTGTATGTTTTCCCCTCTCCCCAACCTGTTGTCAGTTTGTGCCTTTAAGAGTATGTCTGCACTGTAAGGCCAAGGCGTGACTGCGGATTGAGCAGATGTACCTGATTGACCTACTCCACTTAGGAAGGAACAATCCATTTCACACATACAGAATGGGAAGTCATTGTCTAGGAAGGCATACTGATGAAAGGGATCTAGGGTCATAGTGGACCACAAGTTAAACATGAGTCAACAGTGTGACACTTGGAAAAAAAGAAAACATGATTCTGGGATGTGTTAACAGAAGTGTTGTGAGCAAGACACAGAAAGTCATTCTTCCACTCTACTCTGTGCTGATTAGACCTCAGTTGGAGTATTGTGTCCAGTTCTGGGCACCACATTTCAAGAAAGATGTGGAGAAATTGGAGAAAGTCCAGAGAAGAGCAACAAAAATGTTTAAAAGTCTAGAAAACATGAGCTATGAGGAAAGACTGAAAGAATTGGGTTTGTTTAGTCTGGAAAAGAGAAGACTAAAAGTGGACATGATAGCAATTTTCAAGTATCTAAAAGGGTGTCACAAGCAGTAGGAAGAAAAATTGTTCCCCTTGGCCTCTGAGGATAGGACAAGAAGCAATTGGTTTAAATTGCAGCAAGGGAGGTTAAGGTTGGGCATTAGGAAAAACTTCCCAAGCATTGTTACAGGCAGGAGTAGTAGTTCTGCAGAAAAGGACCCGATGGTTACAGTGGATGAGAAGCTGGGTATGAGTCAAGTGTGCCCTTATAGCCAAGAAGTCTAATGACATATTAGGAGAGCATTGCCAGCAGATGCAGAGATGTCATTATTCCCCTTCATTTGGCTCTGGTGAGGCCACATCTGAAGTACTGTGTCCAGTTCTGGGCCCCCCACTACAAAAAGGATGTGGACGCGTTGGAGAGGGTCCAGCGGAGGGCAACCAAAATGATTAAGGGGCTGGAGCATATGACCTATGAGGAGAGGCTGAGGGAGTTGGGTCTGTTTAGTCTGCAGAAGTGAAGAGTGAGGGGGGATTTGATAGCAGCCTTAAGTCTCGGCTTGACAAAGCCCTGGCTGGGTTGATTTTGTTGGGATTGATCCTGCCTAGGGCTGGGGGCTGGACTTGATGACCTTCTGAGGTCTCTTCCAACTCTGTGGTTCTATGATTCTAGGTTGGATAGACCGCTACCTAGATGTTCTTGGTTCTGCTGTGAGGGCAGGAGACTGGACTCAATGACCTCTTGAGGTCCCTTCCAGTTCTATGATTCTATGAGAGCAGTGAGTCTACAGGCTGGTTATGCAAACCCACCTAAACCCTGAGTAATTACTCATGCAACTAACGCTTGGTGATGCCTGTGCTGCTGAGCTAACTAGATTAAGACTAAATTGGACATGTCTGCATGCACTGCAATAGTGCCTCAGGATTGCAAGTGCAGGCATACCCTTTGACCGCAAGCCATCCTTAACAGGGACACACTTTGAGTGTGTTCATACAGTAGCCAACATTCAAGGCCTTCATGAGATATCATTATATCAAAATGTAGTAGTAACTATACCAGGTTTGTCAATGGTAGTTGTTGGTGAATGATGACTCTTTCTAAGAGCGACCATGATAGAGCATTGTGTAGTGAGCACTTTTAAGGCACGTCTCTGCATAATGCATATGAGTATCAGAGTTGGAAAGGAAATTTTCTTACTTTTTTGAAAAAAATATTTGGGGGGTTTTCATAGAAAAATGAATTTTTTTTTACAAAATTGAAAAATGTTGGCTTTCAGTTGCAGCAAACAGAAAACAATTCTTTTTCCAGGTGTTTGATTTTTTTGTTTGCAAAAACTGAAACATTTTTGATAACTGATTTTTTTTCAAAAATTTCTGTTTAGTCAAAGAGCCATTTTTCCACTGTGAAAACAGTTGGACAGAAAAAAGTTAACCAATTATAGAGTATTTATCTGTATTTGTGTGTGTATGTGTGGCAAGGAGAAAGTGAGTGTGTGAGACAGAGAGATTGATCATATGCTAATACAAGTTTTACTTTTCCTACAAGGTAGCCTGTGATGCCACTTATAAGGAAACTTCATATAGTGTACATGTGTAAGTCCATATACAGGCAGTCCCCGGGTTACGTACAAGATAGGGACTGTAGGTTTGTTCTTAAGTTGAATTTGTATGTAAGTCGGAACTGGTACATATTGTAGGGGAAACTCTAGCCAAACATTTCTCCAGAGCTCAGTTTTATTCTCCCACACCTCACTTCCCTCAGTCCTTTATTCTCAAGCTGAGGTGTCTGCTGAGAAAAGCCGCTCCGCGTCTCCCTGGTCTGCTGGGGGGAAGCAGCTAGTGTGGGGTTGCCTCACCCCGTTTGTAAGTAGGGATCCGATGTAAGTCGGATCCATGTAACCTGGGGACTGCCTGTACAGTATCCACTAACAGCAACTGCTAGAATTAAGACAGTAAAATAGAGTCCTAATTCCAATTTCCTGTTTTCCATTCCCAGAACTTTCTGAAAACTTTTTCCTTTCGGGCTGACATGGTCAGGCTCTGCCAAAAGGTAGGTATTTAAGAGGGAGGGGGCAACAAGGCAGGTTTTTTTTTTTTTTTTAAGATGGAGTAACTTTTTTCAGTGGTTTGAAAAATGAACGGGTAAATAGATATAGAAAAAATACATATTTTTCCCCTGCTTAAAACAAATTCCAACAATCTTTGTCTTCACAGATGAAGAAAGGCTAAAGTTTGCAACTGCAACCTCAGTGGATTAGTTGTCTTTAATAGGCTGCATGCATCTTCCTAAATTCTAGTGGGGGAAAAGGACTTTTAAAATATTTTTGGGGAAATACAGCTGTTGACTTTTAACTGTGTCCTGAATTCTGCAGGTTGGTTGAAACTAACATCTCCTTTGCCCTTGATGTTCTGTTCCTTATCTCATTCATTACCTAGTGCTCCTTCTTTTCTCAGAGGTCACGTTTTCTGTGCATTGCAGCCAATAGGGGCTGGCATGCTCACACATGACCTGTCTGACATTCCATGCATCAGAAAGCAGCAGTAAACCTGCATGTTGTGGGAGGAAAGACACACAAGCATGACCTGTTTGGTTTCACATATAATGAGCAGTAGATCAAAATGTGCAAACATATGACAAGATTGTACTCCAGATTCCGAAGGCCAATTTGTTGCAGGTCATTCTGTCGGCAACCTCTGACTGCCACAGTTGTTCCTGCGGTCAAGATTTTCATACGTAGAGTCTTGCGTTGGTTGCCTGCCAACAAAAGTGTTGAGAGAGGTTAAGGCTAGTGTGTCTTTTGGCAGTAAATATAAATGCTGGCATCCCTAAATGGGGCTTCTGAAACAATGCAATCTTGAGAATGCATCTGATTCCAGATTACAGTCACTGGGCGTCCACGTCGACCTGATGCTAACCCATTTTATTTGAAGCTGGTCCTGCAATCTTTTTTTTGTTTTTTGTTTCATATATTTGTACATAGTCTCTTTCATCCTGAAGGACCCTAAAGCATTTTTCAAACTATATACATACAACACTATTGCCAGACAGCAGCTTCTGAGCCTTAGGTCACAGGGACAAACCTCTCCTTTCCGGCGAGCTGTCATAAGGTTTTGAAAATTCATGCTGAGCCTCCAGGACCTTGGTTTTTGAGCTGTCATCTAAAATGACATAGGGCATTTCTACTTCACAGAGCCTTTGTCTATAACACATGCCAACAAGCCCACTCGAGAAAATGCCGAGTGTGCCAGGAAAAAGTGTTCTGCTGGCATAACGACACCACCTTCCTGAACAACATTATCAATGTCAACAAAACTCTCTCCCTTTTGGCACAGTTCTACCTACACCAGAATTTTACTGGAATAATAATATGGGCTGAGGAGATGGATGGGGCAGGTGATTCTCTCTCCTCCCCCCTCTCCCAACGTTCCTAGCTGACTTAGCTATGCCAGCAAAACTTCATAGTGTAAACCAAGCCCACAGGCACAGTCAAACTCATGAGACCAGTTCATCAACTTTAACAAGGGCAAAGGCACTCCTGGCAGGGTTGGAACCGAGAGAACTAAAATATTTACCAGGTTGTTAGACTAGATCTGCCCTTGAGTTAAGTGGAAGCCAATTAACACATTTTTAAAGACAAGTCCACTCCCCAGAAATTTGTTTCAGGCTACAGGTGTTTGTGGTTTATGTTAGAGTCTCAGCCCGGAACACATGTTTTGGGAGGGTCCAGATTAGCCTTTAAAAATGCATTTCCTCCCTGGAGCCAATCAGTAAGGTTAAGATTTTGTCCCAGTTATTTATAGTAAAAGCTATGGATAGATATCAGGCAATAAAATGAGTCACTCCTCTAGTGTGGAGACCATTATACCAATACAAAGGTACTTTTATATTAGTATAGTTTATTTTGGTACATCACCCAACGCATTTTTGTACTGCTGTAACCGTCCTAAGTAGAGTGTTGCCTTTTTCATGTTGATTTCTAAAGCAACGTAGTTTCACTGGAACACAAACTGTGTCGGCCAGTCCTTAAATCCGTGGTGTCCAACCAGTTCTGAAGCAATTGCTGCCATAGTGACTACTGCTATAGTGAACTAGCCACCCTCAACCAGCCAAATAGACACATGTGGCTAGTGGCTAGCATGTTGCACGCCACGGCCTTAGATTCTAAAGTTGTTGCCAATCAAGGACAATTTGCAGTTCCCTGCATAGCAGAAAGGAAGTCCAAGCGTGTTGACATGACAGAAGACACGATGTTCTTACCTGGAGAACGTGGATGGGGCTGTGACATCACCTGGGAGGTGAGAATAAAGATGCAAATTAATTTACTGGAAATTTCAGTTAGAAGACCTGAGAATCCAGAATTGAGGGTGGGTTTCTGAACCACGAAGAATGGGGGAAAATCCCTTTAAGTTCTGTGCAATGCTAGTGGGACTGATGCCTAAATACGAGAAGCAAAGCCTCTTGCTGCTGCTCTTGCTACATGCGATTCCCTTTGCTATAAGTTCCTTTGTTATCATTTCCCATTTTTCCTCATCTTTCAAGGTGGTTAGGGGCTCTGGGCCATCTTCAGCACAAGAAAGTGTCGTCATAGCTCCAATCCCATGATCTACACTCAGCCCAGGCTTGGAGTTGTGGGCCCCTCAGTCACATCCTGGCTTTGCCTCAGCTTAATAAGGACACTGGTCTGGCCTGGGATTTGGGAGACTTTCCTGGCACAGCCACAGACTTGGGAGAGTCCCTGACTTTGCCCTCTCTCTCCAATCCCCCCCTGTAAAATGGGGATAGTATTTCCCTACTCCATGCACAGGGGGGCACAGTGGGAAGAAAAGCCATGAACGATTGTGAAGGACTCTGCTAATATGGTGACAAGAGGCCCAGGAGTACCCAGATAGACAGTGATTCTCCTTCTGGTACATTTAACGAAGCCTGCGGCAGCTCCAAACTGGGCTCAGGTACAGGGCTAAAAATAGCTGTGTTGGGCACTGGGGTTTGGGCTCTGAAGTCCACCGCATCCCTGGACATAAGAGCCTGAGCTGCAACGTCTGCACAAGTGTTTTTTAGTGCTGCTGCCTCAGCCCAAGTCTGTCAACCTGGACTCTGAATCTCAGTACCGTGGGCTGTGCAGATGTTCGCTCCATGGCCTTGTGCAAGTCTCTCAACCTCTCTGCTTCCGTTCTGCCATCTGTGACATGAGGATGACGATACTGTGAGGATGACACCATTTTGCGAAGCGTACTGAAGGCAAGCTGTGCCGATGCCTCCGTGCAAAACATGAATAATTAGCCTGTTTTAAAATGGCATCTCCCAACCATACATCTTGCTTCTTAGACCCTCCAGCCATAGACATACGGAAACTCCTGTTTATTGTGTCTTGTTAAAACATACAAGGGTCCAATCCAGCAACCCTATAACTAGCACCTGGGGAGTTTTGCATTTCTCCTACTTTGCTTATGTTACTTTGCTTGGATTGTCAGTTGTAAACATCCCTAGAGGAGGAACATCCTCGCTGATTGCATCTTTTTCCTTTTGTACAGTCATTCCACCAGTTAACAGTCTGATTAAACTGAGAGAGAGAGATAGAAATGTATTAAAGCAAATAAATAATGGTACCTACCTGCACTCCAGAAAACAGCAATTCCTACTATCATCAGCAACACCAATACTTTACTTCCTAGTGCTACAAACATCAGGATCAGAATCCAGGAGCCACTTGCTCCTTTGAATTTATAGAAATACACGGCTCCCTCTGCCTTCCCGTGGCTGTTAACAGCCGTGCACGTGTATTTTCCATCATGAGTCAAGTAGTGCAGCTCCTTGGTTATCTGGTGGTTCACGCTTGTGACTGAGGTGGCGTTGCTGAGGAGAGGGCCGGTCCACGTCAGAGAGGGCAGGGGCTCCCCTTCGGCTGTACACTGCGCTTTGAAGGTATGGTCCTCATTGGAGCCAATGGTGATGTTAATAATCCTGGGAGCAGCTGTACGGATCACAGCAAGCAATTAAAAAATAATTAGAATACAAATCCCTAGCTGGCTTTGGGCTCAAAGCATTTAGTACCATTGTTGGCCTGAACTGAGTCATAGCTTGCTCACATGCCACACTGATGTGTGCAGTCTAAGGAGGAGGAGGCGGGAAAATTCTTCTCCTTGGCCTCTGAGGACAGGAAAAAGAAGCAATGGGCTTAAACTGCAGCAAGGGAGGTTTAGGTTGGACATTAGGAAAAACTTCCTAATTGTCAGGGTGGTGAAACACTGGAATAAATTGCTTGGGGAGGTTGTGGAATCTCCATCTCTGGGGGATCCTTTGAACATAGCCTCTACTTGGAACACATTCTACAACAGCGGGTCAATATATGATGTGCATTTTAGTAGTTAAATTCCTGGACTGTCATTGCTCATTCAAAGTGCTGTCACATGGGTAGAAATCGGGTAAATATTGCATTTTATTAATATCAGCAGAACTGACGTAAATGGGGCCTGTGTGTTGTGTAGTCTTGCCTTAATCTTTGTTTTCATGCCCGTCAGTGTGAAAGAAGCAAATTGCTTATATATCTGCATTTAAGTTGCATCCCTTGGCATGTGCTGTGAGTATCATTGTGGCCCCAGGGCTTCCAAAGGTTAGTAGCCCTGATCTAGATGGTGCTTGGTTGTGCCATGAGAGCAGGGGACTGGACTTGATGACCTCTCAAAGTCCCTTCCAGTTCTAGGATTCTATGATTTTGTAACCTCAAGATCAATTTTTTCACCCCTCCTTTTCCTTTAACATTTCCTTTCTCTTGATTTCTTCATCACCCCAGAGCTTTGAAGAGAAACATAATGGTGCAGCAAAAAGGGCACAGTCCTTGGAATCAGGAGATCTGAGTTCCACTCCTGTTTTATTATTACTATTGATATTGCAGTGATTCAAATATAAAAAGACGGTCAAAATTTAATTTCCCCTCCACTCTGTGTGGTGTGATTTATTCATTGCTAGTGTTTCATGCATCCGTGGGCAGAATACATTTTTGTATTTGCACTGAGGCACATGCGAATGAGCACCACCAATAGAAGCACAAAACCTACCTACGGCTGCACTGCTGATCAGCGGGGTGGCATTTGAATTTCCCCCGAGTGGCCACACAAATGCACAGGGAACGCAGAAGGGTGACCCAGCAGCGGGGAGGTGGAGCAAGTCTCACAATGTGGAGGGGAAAGCAGGGAAGTTCAAGACTGGCATTGTCCTGGAGGACTAATCTGGTTCTGACACCTGTTGGCCATAAGCTGGCCCCTTTTCCGGTCTCAGTGCCTATTCTATTCTATTCTATTCTATTCTAGTTCTCAGACTATACACATCAGTGTGGCATGTGAGTACACTCAGGAAAATGCCCTGTACTGATGTTGTAAAGTACCTCAGGAATGATCAGTATTGGGAAGGCTAATATCCTTGGTACCTTGGAGGATGAGGGTCAGTGGCATGGAGCGGTCTCTCCAGCTTCCACATTCTCCAGCCTCTGTTGGTGGCTGTTTCTACCGCCCCGAGAGCTGATGTTCTCTTACCTGTCAAATGGAGCTTTATCCCAGTCCTGCTTTCGTACTTGTCATGAAAATCCCCAGAAAACTCCACCCGGCAGAAGTATCTGTTGCTGTCGCTCCAGGTCAGGTTGTCAACCTTGATGGAGAGGTTGTTGTGCCGGGGGTTCCCAATCAGTTTGTACTTGTTCTTGTAGCTCACTGTGGTTTTACAGAGGTCGCTCGAGCTGTGAGTAACACACTTGAACACCACCATCCCGCTGTAAGGTTCCTTGATCCTCCAAATGGTTGTGAGGGTCTGGTCATATGCTTTGTGGGGGTGTGTGAACGTACAGGGCAGAACGACCGCCTTTCCAATTTCACCAGTAGCATCTGATGGAACCTGAATGGACCAGCCATTGGACTGCAAACCTAGGACCAAAGGAAGTGACTTCAGAAACCTGAATAGACCAATAAAGCCTGAAGACATTTCCCCTCCTAAATCAGGAGATCCTCACTTTACACGGAGTCCTACCTGATCTACCCTTAATGAGTGTATAGATACCTCATTGACTCTATGCATTCTTATACCCTCCCTTTCTCGTGCTAGGAGCCAGCTCACAGATCTATAGGTTCGTTTTTTAAAAGCAAAGTCTTCTGGGCAAAGCATTTAACCCAGCTGGTTCTGCAGCCATTGAGAATGGCAGCCATCTCGGAGGGGTAACCGTGTTAGTCATGGTTTGAACAAAGGCATGAACTGGTTGGGCCATTATAAAACCTGCTGTCCTTACATTCAACACCCACCGGACAGCAAAAGCTAAGCGAGGGACACATCCAGCCCTCTCAATTAACCTCATTAGCACCGGCACTACAATTGACAGGGTATTTCCCCAGCTTCTTTTTCTGTTATAAATTGAAAGGTCCCCCCCTTTTTCTCTCCACTCTGCACATCTGAGGAAGTGGGTGTTGCCCATGAAAGCTCATGATACTATATATATATATTTTTGTTAGGTGATACAGGGCTACTCATTTTTTAGCAGCCACCATAGGGAGTGCTATGGCTTCTGGCTTTTCCAGTGGTCAACCGTCTTCCCAACACGGGGACACTGTTATTTGCAAGTCACCAAACAGCGATGGGCTTGAAAGGGAGTGTTAGGAGATGCTGATCGGTACTGATCTAACAAGCAGCCTGGGCATGCAGCTTGCCAGCACCTGCCTCCAAGTGTCCTGAAGGTGGGAGAAAGTCCTTGTCCATCTGAGGACAGCAGTCAGTGTGAGAGGCAGATCACTGTCTCCCAACGGTGGAATGGTATTTTACCCTACAGCTGCCAATAACTTCTGTAAACTACCCCTTTCCCTGGAACGACACTGTGCATTCCCTGTACAGAAACGTTTCAACTTAAAAATACCTCACTTTCTGGACCAAGTCCAGCCCTGATACAAATCTACTTGCAGTTAGTGGGAGCTGCAATTCTTTTGTGCCAGGGCCAGATTTGATCTTTGCTGCCTGATAATTGTTCTCTGGCAACCACAACACCAGCTTTCACCTGAATGGAATGCACATAAAAGTGTCAGACTTTGATGCTGTTACTTTGACTGGCAGCTGACAATTGAGCTGCCAAAAACAGAGCTCCTGGGAAGGCTGCTTTCAGTTCTGCATATTGGTGGCAGCCCCAACAGCGGTAGCACCAGATAATGCTTTCAGGAACATGCGGTGTAGCTCAGTATCTTCTAGATCAGGGTGGGCAAGCATTTTTTTTTTGGCAATGGGGAGATTCTCCAAGAATTTTGGTAAGTAGTCATGGCCTGCATTTTGCTATTATATTAATGGAGGGGGGTGTGGGCTCTGGAGGGAGTTTGGGTGCAAGAGAGGGTTCTGACCTGGGGCAGCGGTGCAGGAGGGGGCTGTGGGCTCTGGAGGGAGTTTGGGTGCAAGAGAGGGTTCTGACCTGGGGCAGCGGTGCAGGAGGGGGCTGTGGGCTCTGGAGGGAGTTTGGGTGCAAGAGAGGGTTCTGACCTGGGGCAGCGGTGCAGGAGGGGGCTGTGGGCTCTGGAGGGAGTTTGGGTGCAAGAGAGGGTTCTGACCTGGGGCAGCGGTGCAGGAGGGGGCTGTGGGCTCTGGAGGGAGTTTGGGTGCAAGAGAGGGTTCTGACCTGGGGTGGCGGTGCAGGAGGGGGTGTGGGCACTGGAGGGAGTTTGGGTGCAAGAGAGGGTTCTGACCTGGGGCAGCGGTGCAGGAGGGGGTGTGGGCGCTGGAGGCAGTTTGGGTGCAGGAGAGGGTTCTGACCTGGGGCAGTGGTGCAGGAGGGAGTGTGGGCACTGGAGGCAGTTTGGGTGCAAGAGAGGGTTCTGACCTGGGGCAGTGGTGTTGGAGGGGGTGTAGAGTCTGGGAGAGAGTTTGGGTGCAAGTGAGGGTTTTGGCCAGGGGCAAAGGATTGGAGTGTGGAAGGGGGTTCTAGGTGCAGTGTTGGGCCCTGGCCTGGAGGTACTTGCCATAGGCAGCTCCCAGCCAGTGGCACAGTGGGGCACTCAGGCAGGAAGGTTGCCTGCTAGACTTAGTGGCTTTCTGTCACCTGAAGCTGCCAGCTACTGCTGGCAAGAATGTCTCTACATGCCCCTTGCGGGAAGGGGTCAGTGGTATGTTCAATAGCATCCTGGGATCTCTCCTGGCCACAAAGAACGTTGGTGTTTCCCAATCGTTATTAGCCATATTAAGTAACTACTACCAAAGCCGGCTGGAATTTCAGGGCCCTAGAGACCAGAATTCTGGATCTACTGTTCCAAATAATGACCTGCGTCGCCCTCCCCATGCATCTTGCAATTGCATCTTGCCTGAACAGGAAGATGGACGGTGAGAAGAGAGGCAGCGACCGCAGCCAGAACTCACCCTTCTTGAAGATGCAAAGGAGGCTTGCAAGAAATAAGCCGAACCCCTTCATGTTCGCCGGCGCTCCTCACGGCGGACTGACTTCGGATCAGCAAACCAGCATAGTTGATGCCTTAGCCGAGTGGTCAGCCGTGTAGCTCCAGACTGTCTGGCTGGGGAATGGAAGCCGCAGTGGTTTCCCTCGCCCTGGAGGGAATGAGTGTGTTCAGCAGAGCTGGCAAGGGGTCTGGTTAAAAATACTTTTGTGGTCAGTCATGTGGAAAACACAAAGGGAGATGAACATTTTATCATTTTCCACCAGTGGGAGGAGCCAACGAATCCCTGCTGAAAATCTCCCTTTGTAATGTCTGCTGTGTAGGGGAGAGCCAAAGGGACCTAAGTGCTCCAAGTCCACTGACCTATGAGGAAGTTATGAGAGTCTGACCAACAAGGTCAAGTGACACCCTGGCTCCTCTTGCTTGAAGGAAGTTGTCCTACTTCTAGACTTTCTGCTTCAGCTCTCTGACAATGTATCTGGATTCAAATTCCGCCACACTCATGCTAAATATAAGAATTAGGAGTCACCAAATGAAATGAATAGGCATCAGGTTTAAAACAAACAAAAGGAAGTTTTTCTTCACTTGGTACACAGTCAACCTGTGGAACTCCTTGCCAGAGGATGTGGTGAAGGCTAGAACTTTAACAGGGTTCTAAAAAGGGCTAGATAGATTCATGGAGGTTAGGTCCATCAATAGCTATTAGCCAGGATGGGTAGGAATGGTGTCCCTAGCCTCTGTTTCTCTCTAAGTGGGAGACGGGGGAGGGATCACGTGAGGATTACCTGTTATGTTCCCTCCCTCTGGAGCATCTGGCATTGGCCACTGTCAGCTGACAGGATACTGGGCTAGATAGACCTTTGGTCTGACCCAGTATGGCCGTTCTTATGACTCAGCCAGCACATGCATACAACCTTTCCCTGCCTGATTGTGCATCTCCCCAGCAGTTTCTAGAGCTCTGGTGCTGTGATGCAGGAGATGCCGAAAGGAGGCACGTAGGGTAGGAACTAGGCAAGGCATGTGCGCTGCTGAGCATTGCACCGTGCACATAAAGAGGAGAAAGAGAAGGGGAGAGAAGTGGGATAGGATGGAAGGTGACCGGAAGGTGAAGGTGAACTGACCAGAAAAAAGGACATGGGCAGGTTTAGAGAGAACACAAAGCTGGGCAAAGTGAGAACTGTAGAGCACAACACAGGCAAAAATAATCCTGGGAGGGCTGTAAGTTGGAACAAAGTTGCTTAGGTTGGGGGGACGTTTCACTAACTAGTTACAGAGTGGAGGGCTAAGGAAAGTAGTGGCCTAAAAAGAAGAAAAAATGTTGTCACTGTATGTCCCGTTCAAAGAGAAGCCTCAGAACTGTCATTCATGCTTAAATTTGACACTTTACATATGGGCCTTAACAAAGATGCTAATTATCTCACCCATTACAAAGATAGCTTCCCCAATTATCACCCCCCTATGTCATTACCTCACAGACACTAACCTTCCCCCCTCATTTCTCCTCTTTTCTAAAATTTGATTTGTCAATTTTATGTGTTCACTTTTTTTTATTGTATCCCTTTGGTATATATGGTCATGTCAATTTTCTTCCACTATTTGATCTGAGGAAGTGGGTCTGGCCCACGAAAGCTCATCACCTAAAAAACCATCTTGTTAGTCTTTAAAGTGCTACATAGTCCTGTCTTTTGTTTCCATATGTCACGGTACTGAATTTGAGGGAAGCGGCCAGATCACTGATGTACCCATAGGTGGGGGTGTTGGCCCCAGAAATGATATAAAAGGGGGGCCATGTGGGGTATTGAATAGACGCTCACTGTCTGCTAATCCTATGTACGATAGTCATGTGATTGTATAATGTCTGTGTGTGTAGTTAGGAATCTGTAATCTGTGTAGATACTGAATATTTCTCTGCATGTGGTTGAGCAGTGGACAGAGCCCGGCCTATGGACATGCTAATCAGCGAGGCCCTGTGGGACAATGGCACTCAATGGGCCAAGGACACACCTAAAGAATGAGTGGTGACTCATACCTAAAGGCTACCAGCAGGGAACACAGGAATGAGCCGTGGGCCAGGTGACCTGCTGTAGTCAAGAGGAGACCAGGAAGGAGGGATAAATAGGCCATGTGGTGGACTCCATCTTGGTTCTCAGCTCAGCACTTCATCCCAGAGGCAGCAGTGCAGGGATCGAAGAGCCAGAAAGACCTGTGAACCCATCTTGATTCTAGGATGTGCAACAAGGACTCTTAAGCCAGCAGCTGTAACATCTCTGCTAGAGCCTGCATCGAGAACTGGGAGATTCGGTGCATGTAATGTATTATTCCTTTAACAACCTTACTCTCATGCTTTTCCTTCGTGTGGTAATAAACCTTTAGCTGTTTGATGCTAAAGGATTGGCCCAGCGTGATTTGTGGGTAAGGTCCAGAGGGTAAATTGACCAGGGATCTGTGGCTGGGTTCTTTGGACCGGGGAGATTGGGTGCTAGGACCCCCCACCTGTGTATGAGGCCCGGGGCCATCTGGGGCATGGATATTGCTGGGGTGATGGAGGGGTTTTGCTCGTGAGGATTCAGGCAGGCTGTTGAAGCGCTCTGTGTGACTGGTTTGTGGCCTGTTTGGAGAGGTCTTCAGTCTGGGGACTGTAAGGAGCCCCGAATTTGAGCAATTCGCCCTGAGCGGACGCCCTCAGCTGTGCCCAGACACGGCCCGGTCTGTCACACCATACCAAAAATGTTTCTTAACGCTAGGGGGCACAAGGCTCCGACAATGAAATAAATCACCATGCGCAGGAATCAGGCCCCCAGGACTGGAGACATTCAGAGCACGATTGCCGGTGGGGTGAGCGCATGGAGCCACATTCCATGTGTGTGTACAGCTCCTAGCCCAAAGGGGCCCCCACCTTGGTTGGGGTCCCTACACACTAATAATACAGAATAGACCCTGAGAGCCAGTGATCCTGGAGGCCCCTCAGCGTTCCTGTCTCGTATGGTTGAGCTCAAGACTTTCAGGGTGAGTTTTGTGGCCTGAAGCAGCTTTTGAGATAATCTATTTGTGTCTTGCTTTGCCCAGGGAAGAGTGAGGAGATAGGTAGGGGAGTGGCTAAGCAACTCTGATATAATTCATTGTGCAGCATAAGGTGAAGAGGGCAGCTGCAGGAAAGACCTTTATTTATGTCCCCAGGCAGTTGCTTTTCAGAATTCACTTTAAAAGGATGTAGCTGTTTTTCCAACATTTCAGTCTTTCTCCTTCACAGACTGCCCTCCCCCCCCACACCGAAAACAGTGATCAGCGCTTTTGAAGCATGACACACTGTAGAGCCTAGCAGAATAAATTCCATTAGGTCTGTCTCCAGATGGGTTGGGTTCTGTTCATTGTCGCAGACTGGCTGAAAGGGGTCTCGGGATTAGAAGGATGTGTTGGCAATGGCATCTTGCTGGATTGTGTTTCTAACCAGTGACTTGGATTCTTCAATTTACTTACTTCAAACATGTTTTCCACCTACCCGTCCTACAGATCCTTCTGTCTGAAAATCCTGGTGGGAAGTAACCCTCTGTTTTTTCTACTTTGTCGCGATCGTAGCTTTCTAAAAGAGATGTTCTTGTTCGGGGTGGGGAACCTTTTTAGGGTCGGGGGCTGCTGACCCAGAGGAAAATCAGTCTGGGACTGCACACAAGTGAGAAGCACAAACAAACCCACACTGACATGGCCCCTGACTGAGAAGGAGAAAGACGCTCCCCACATTCCTCTTGCACACAGAGCCTTTGGTGGGTGGGGGTTCGAGGGGGGAGGCTCAGACTAGTAGACTGTGTCTGCTCCAGCTCTGCAGAGGGATGGTGGGGGGGGATAGGTGGAGCATCAGTGCAGGCTCCCCAGTGCTGGGGGGAGCCCTGAGCCTGCACCCTTCCCCATGGGGGTTGGCCCAAGCCCTATCTATAGGGTTTCCCAGTGTCCCGTTTTTGACTGGAATACCAAGGGACCCTGGGGGCTCCAGTCAGCCTTCCATACCCCAACCTCCCACCTCAGCCTGGAACTGCCAACCACAGTACAAAGCCCTTGGCACCACTCCCCCCGTTCCCTGCCTCCCACACACCGACACAGACCAGGGCTGAGGAGGATCCCCTCCCTCCCTGCCAGGGCTGGCCCCATTTCCTCCTGCCTCGCACCTATGCAGGGCCAACCTCCCCACTAGTGCCCAGAGCCAGTCTGATGCCCTACCCATGACTCCCCCCTTCCCAGTGCCCTCCCATGCTTCCCGATGCATGGGGCTGTTCCTCTGAGGCTGTCTGCCTGCACATGGGGTTGGTCTTACAGGTGTCCTGTGCCCTAACAGACAACTGCACACAGGGCTGCCCCAGATCCCCCTTATATCCCTGTCTGTGGGACTGCCAGAGACCCTCCCTTTCCCTCCTGCATGCATGCAGGCCCAGACGGTTTGAGCCGTTCTTCCTAGTCCTTCCACCAGTGCAAGTCTGGCATTGCCATGTTCCTCTGTGCCCTAGCAGGGATCTCATCCCATGTTTTTGGACAAAGCTGGGCATTTGTCCAGTTTGCTCTTAATGATCTTCCTGTGTTTGTGTTTTAAAGGGCTGGACTCTCCACTTGTATTGTTTTACAGTGCCCTGAGCACTTTGCTAGAGGTTCTGATACCATAAAATATTAGAATATTAGAAACGGAAGGGACCTTTAGAAGTCATCAGGTCTAGTCCCCTGACAGGACCAAGCACAATCTAATAATCTCTGAGAGATGCCCGTAAATATCTCCAATTAAGTAGATTCCACAACATCCTAGCCAATTTATTCCAGTGATTAACCATCCTGACAGGAAGTTTTTCCTAATGTCCAGCTTAAATCTCCCTTGCTGCAATTTAAGCCCATTGCTTCTTGTCCTGTCATCAGAGCCCAAGGAGAACAATTTTTCTCCCTCTTCCTTGTAATACCCTTTTAGGTACTTGAAAGCTGCTATCATGTCTCCTCATTGAACTTCATCCTATTAACCTCAGACCATTTCTCCAGTTTGTCCAGATCATTTTAATTTATCACACTGTCCTCCAAAGCAGTTGCAACCCCTCCCAGCTTGGTATCATCCACAGTCTTTATAAGTATGCTTTCTATACCATTATCTAAATTGATTGTGATGATATTGAACAGAACCAATCCCAAAAGCTGATCCCTGCAGAACCCCACTTGTTATGCCCTTCCAGCATGAATGTGAATCATTGATAACACAGTCATGCTAAAGGGTATAACAAGTGGAGTTCCAGAGGGATCAGTTATTGGACCATGTAGAAAACATTATGATTACTAAGAAGTACTTACCAGCATCCTCACCACATCACAGAAACACTTACTCAGGAACCTATCCCTGCAACAAACCCCATTGTCAGCTCTGTCCACATATCTATAAAAACACCATTACAGGACCTAACCACATCAACCACACCATCAGGGCTTCATCCACTTACATATCCACTATAGTGATATATGCCATCAAGTGTCAGCAATGCCCCGCCGCTCATGTATATTGGTCAAACTGGATAGTGTCTGTGCCAAAGGATAAATGGACACAAATCAGTTATCAGGAATGATAACACACACAAATGTATAGGGGAACACTTTAACCTCCCTGGACATTCAGGAAAAGATTTGAAAGTAGCCATCCTTCTACAAGAGAATTTCAAAAACTGGTTACAAAGGGGCACATCAGAACTGGAAGTTGTTTGCAAATTCAACGCTATCAATTTCATGCGTGAATAAGGATCTCAACTGGTTCATGCATTACAAAGGGAATTTCCCCTCTCTGGATATTCACATCTCCAGACCAAAGGCTATGAGTAGCCTACTTCCACCCTGACTTGATTAGCTTCATTAACACAAGCAACTTCTTCCTTATATGTACTCCTGCTTCTGTAATTCCACTCCAATTCATCGGATGAAGTGGGTTTTACCCATGAAAGCTTATGCCCTAATAAATCTGTCAGTCTAAGGTGCCACAGGACTCTCTCTCTCCTTAGACCCTATGCTACTAGCTATTCCTGGCTACCTTTGAAACACCACCCACTTCCTGATGAAACTACAGAACATCAGCAATCTTCCTGAAAACACCATCCTGGCCACCATGGATGTTGAAGCTCTTTACATCAACATTCTACACCAGGGGTCTCCAAACTTTTCAGCCCGAGGGCCGCATTAACTATCAAACAGCAGTTCGGGGGCCGACTACACACTTGAGGTCCAAATAAAAAACAATCAAAACATGGATGTTGTTTTTAATTATTTATTTAATATTATTTATTTAACAATGCTTTCTCGCCGGATTTGATGAAGAAGTATTTCAAACTCCATTCTTCTTGAAATTGCCGACACTCATCGTCTATTTTTCTTTTCCTCTTCTCGGCCATCGCTGGGCAC